GCCCAACATGGAATTAAATTTGAGTCCTCTGCAAGAGCAGTACATGCTTTTATTTCCTGGGCCGTCTCTACAGCTATGAAACAGTTTTTTCTTTTAAGTACCAAGTATGTGGTGATATATAGTGTGTACTTCAATGTATTGTATACCCTAATAAACTTGCTTGAGGATCAGAGAACAGAACAGCCACTAGATTAAACATAGAGGCCAGGCGTGGTGGCACACACCTTTAATCCCTGCACTTGAGAATCTCGTGCTTTTGCTTGGGAAGGACACATACCTTTAATCCCAGGAAGTGATGTCAGGAAGCATCAAGGTATATAAGGCAGGAGGAGCAGGAACTAAAGGCTTTTAGCTGCAGTTCTACTGAAGTTCTCCGGGGTGAGGACTCAGAGGTTTTCAGTCTGAGATTTTGTGGAAACAGGATTGGCTAAGAATTTGGCAAGGTGAGGTTGGCTGTGGCTTGCTCTGTTTCTCTGATCTTTCAGCATTCACCCCAATATCTGCCACTGGGTTTTTCTATTAATAAGACCTTTTGAGATTTGTGTCATACAAGTATAATATTTTCTAGATCTGTCCATCAACTGCAGATTTCATATTCTTTATCAGTGAATAGAATTTAATTGCATCCACGCACCATACTTTCATTATTGATTTATCAGCTGATAGACATCTAAGCTTATTTCTTATGTGTTGTAATCACCCAGTCCCAGAGAGAAAAAAAACACATTGCTTGTAGTATTTGTGGATACTAGCTCCCCAAATTTAGATTTGAGACATAACCTGAAGTAACAGAAGAAGCTAGGAAAGCAGAAAGGGATAATGGGTAGAGGGGTACAGAAAGGTGCAATAAAGAAGAAAGATGGGAGGACTAAAGACAGGAGGAGAAAGGGTAATACAGAGGGAAAGGGAGGAAAGAGAGGCAAATAACATTAAGCATGTCTGAAAAATCTATAATTAAACATTATTTCATAAGTTTTCCTAAAATGCATATATTTATGTGTGTGGTGCATATATATATATATATATATATATATATATATATATATATATTATACATACATGCACATGCATAGTAGAATTATGCCATACAGGGTAGGTGATAATGCTCCCCTCAGTAGTTATGTGCTATTTAATAAATATCTTAGTATCAGGCAAGGAAAATTTCCCTCTGGGCTCTTGGTCAAGAGTAGTATGCAAGCCAAGAGGCTCCTAAGACATTATAGGCTCTTGCCAGTGCCCTGTCATTTGCCTCAATAACTTGAATGGATGACCATATTGCATATATAGACCAGGAAGAATGTTTGGGCCAATTGTAGTCTTGCTTCTTAGTGCCATTAAGGCTTATATTTGGAAACAATACTTGGCCCCATAGCATCAGCCCCAGTCATATCTCCATAAGGGGAAATAGTCACCATCAGACTAAGATACAAAGGGTTCACTAGGACTTGTAACAGAAAATCTGGCATGAACTGTTCCAAATAGGCCCAGATGCCTCAGCAACCAGGACAATTATCAGCTATCTTGCACACTGGTCTCAAAGCAACTGTGGAGTTGTCTAAAAGGCTAATGCAAGCACAGAGACAGGCCAATTGGCTGCTAGTCTAATAATCCTTTATCTCAGGACAACAAGGGAGAGTCTGTAGATGTAACCAATCGTCTTATTAAAATAAGAAACACAGAGCCAATGTAAAAGAGAAAGCCGAGAGGTCAGAGCTCAGAGATAAAATCTTACCTCCTGCAGTGCTCCTAGCTTCCCCGAGAGAGAGAGAGCTACTTCCTGTTTGTCTGTGTTTAAATAGTCTTTCTGTTCTGCCTTCTCATTGGTTGTAAACCCAACCACATGACTGCCTCATCACTGCCTGTAAGTACCGCCCTCCAGGTCTTAAAGGCGTATGTCTCCAATACTGGCTGTATCCCTGAACACACAGAAATCTACCTAGCTCTTCTAACCACCACGCTCTTGCTATGGCTCTAATAGCTCTGACCCCACGTCAACTTTATTTATTAACATAAAATTAAAATAACATTTCAGTACAAATAAAATATCACCATAAGAGTCTATTAGGTATTAATTATATATCCAAATTACCTAATTGATATGTCTTTATTTACTTTTAGGAAACGAATGTAAAATAAAATGCCTTCAATACAAAATTATATTACTAATCATTAACACTCGGTGATTTTAAAAGATTTTAAAAGTGACTGAACAGTGATTACACATGATTGCTTTCTGTGAATGGGTAGGTCTCCCCTCATATGTCTTACCAGCACATGGAAGTAAGAGTGGATAATATAATTTACATTAAGAACCATGTTAACTATTGACACAGAGAAAGCATCCTGATCATTCTTATTGCCATTGAGACTAACTGTAAATAAGTTTAAAGTACTCTATTTTCCATTTATTCCAAAATAAAATTTTAAAAAAACTTAGTAGCTGTATAGTTTTCTTCTTCTTTCAAAAAAAATTCTAAAGGGGTGCTAGGTTGTCCTTTGGTTATTATCACCAGAAAATGCTTGATGTCAACATAATGAAAAGGGGTACAAGAATACAGATTTGTTCTGAAATATTGTTTCTGAAAGAGGAAGTGGCGGTAAAAGCTCACACTATTTTCTTTTCTTGCTCTCAGTGATTCTTAGATAAGTTGAGATTCTTTTTTTGTTTTTTTTTTTGTTTGTTTGTTTTTGTTTGTTTGTTTGTTTGTTTTTTTGAGACAGGTTTTCTCCGTGTAGTTTTGGTGCCTGTCCTGGATCTCTCTCTGTATACCAGACTGGTCTTGAACTCACAGAGATCCACCTGGCTGTGCCTCCCAATTTCTGGGATTAAAGGCATGTGCTACCACCACCTGGCAAATTGAGATTCTTGCATTTAGAGCAGGCAAGTGAAGTTATGGGGTCTATTATCAGTTTTCCCTAATATCTTAATTCTTTTTCAGTTTTATTTATTTATTTACATCCCAGCAGCAATTTCCACGCCCTCTTCTCCTTCCATTCTCTCTTCCCCACCTCCTCTTTGTCCCCCATCCCAATTCACTCCTCCTCCACTTCTATTCAGCAAATAACAGGTCTCCCATGAGTATCAACAAAACATGGAATATCAAGTTGTGCTCCTCATGTATTAAGGCTGGGCAAGGTGACCCAGTATGAGCAGTAGGATCCCAAAAGCTAGTAAAAGAACCAGAGACAGCCCCTGCTTCCACTGTTAGGAGTCCCACAAGAGGACCAATTTACACAACTTTAACATATATGCAGAGGTCCTCAATCAGTCCCATGCAGGCTCCCTAGTGGTCAATTAAGTCTCTACGAGCCCCTATGAGCCCAGGTTAGTTGACACTATGAAACCTGGTGCAAGAGAATCACTCAGGACAAGGATGACTCCAGCTAAGACTCCAAGCAATAGCAGATATTTAGTCTAAGCTAGCCATCTCCAGTCACTAGGCAAGACTTCAAGTGGAAGGAGTGGGAAACCAACCCAGCTACATAACCTTTGACCTACAATATGTCCTGCCTATGGGATGTGATGGAGACATGGTACTCTAGAAATTGAGGGTGTGGCCAACCAATGACTGGTCTATCCTAAAATCTTTGCTAGGAAAATAAACCTACCCCTGACATTGCCTGGAGCACCAGGACCTGCAGGCTGGATGACCTGGGATAGAACCTAAGAAACAATGTCAATGTAAAAATGCACAATGATATCCTGCTATACTCACAGATTGGTGCCTAGCCCAATTGTCATTAAAGAGACTTCATCCAGCAACTGATGGAAACAAATGCAGACTGACAGCCAAAAATTAGGTGGAGTTCTGAAATCCTGCAGAAAAGGAGGGGAAAGGATTGTAGGAGTCAGAGGGGGGTCAAGGTTATCTTATTTCTTAAAAGCCATTTTACACAGTGTGCAAAGCATTTGCTGATCATAGAAACAAGCAGGCCAACCCTAATGTCACTCTTGAAGTTATGATACTGAAATCAAAGCTCAATATATCTCTACCATTTCAGAGACAAAGACATGAATAAAGTTAGACACACTGTCACTATAGGTGAAGAAATTCATGACAGCACAGGACAAGCATATTTAATTGGTTATGCATTGATAGCTTGCAAAGCAATAAAAATCCCAAAGGAACTTTAATTTACAACTTCAAATCCATACCCGTTGTGAGTCATCTTGTGACCTTACATATTAGAGATGTAGTTATGGGTAAGTGATGGATTTTATTATATGGTGTGATTATTCAATCTGTCATGAAACATAGACCATATTATATAAAGCTTTCTTTTAACCATGTTTCAAATAGGACATCTAATATGTACCTTGTCAAATGATAAAGGCAGCATGGCATGCAATAATAACATTGTACACCATTGGCCTTTCCTAAGTATCATGTGGTTCTGTTGTCTTTCTAATAAGATATTGCCATTCGAAGTGATCATTATGCTTTTTAACATTATTTTCTCTATCATGAAAATCAAAGAAGGTTGCAGTAGTCATTTCAATCACCTACCTTGGTACTCATTTGCAGGTATGAGAAGTAAAAACATATATTTAATACAATATATTCTGGATGTATTTTTGCAGCACTAATTTTACATTTGCTTTGAAAGTGATCTACTGGTTTATCTGGTTTCATGTGATTGTCCTTACTGATTTTTAAAGTGCTTAGTATACCTCCTTCTTTTGAATGTACACACATTTTATCAATTAAAATTTAGTTACTTATGTTATCAAAATTTTGTGATATGTTTGCTTAATATGTTCATTCAAATCTTACAGGCTGAATTTAAATATAAGTGGAAATTCATAAATGTAAAATTCAGACATGCATATTTGTATAATCATATCATTTTATTTTTGAAGTTATGATTTGTGGTTTTTATTAAAATGCACAGAGCAAATGAAGCAAATGAGAGGAAAAATTGTAGAAGGTGGAAATAAAAATGTGAGGAAATCAATTAGGTCATAATTATTTTCTGTGATACCATAAAAATAAGTCCACTCCAAATCTGATTTGGGGTTTCAAGGAAGGCAAAGACCAAACGAAAGTGAAGAGTTGCAAGATTCACAACTGACTTAAAAGAAAAGGAGACAAGCAGTACAAGGGAACAGAACAGCTTTATTTTTGGTAGGGGCCGTTGTCTACTTTAGCTTATTAGTGATTCCAAAGAGAATGATTGTGGTGGTTAATATTCACTGTCTAATTGAACATTCAGAATCACATAGAAGATAAATCTGCAGGCATCCATGAAGTATTTCAAAAGACATTCAATTGAGGAGGTTAAGTCTACTTTGAATCCGTGTCCTAAATTGGATTAAAACAGAGGACTGAACAACTAGAGAAAAAGAAAACGGTAAGGATACCCTGATCCCTGATCTCAAGTATTCCCAAATATGAACAATTTCAACTTCATGTTGTGTCATACTTCATTAGCATCAGCAAGCCCCTCCATAACAGTTCCCAGCAGCACTGAAAAAAAAAAAACACAAAACAAACTGTATTAGTCTGAGTTCTTTAGAGGAGCAGAACTGAAAGAATTTATGTTTATAAAGGGGATTATTATAGTAGCATACAGGCTGTGGTCCAGCTAGTTCAATGACTGTTTACCAAGAGAAAGTCCTAGAATACAGTAGTTATTCAGTCTATGAGGCTGGTAGTCTCAGCTGATCCTCAGTATATGACAGGATTTTGAAGCAGGCACTAATTCCATTGCAAGAATGACTTTCCAGGGAGCAAGAGGGCAAGCAGACAAAGAACAAAATCTTCCTTCTTCCATGTCCTTTATATAGGCTGCCACCAGAAGGTGTGGACCAGATTAAAAGTGGATCTTCCCAGCCCAAAAGATGCAGATGAAAGGTGACTGTCACCACTTCAAATGATTTAATTAGGAAAAATCACTCAAAGGTACCCAGCCACTTGGACTTTAGTTAATTCCAGATGTAGTCAAGTTGATAAGCAAGGATAGTCATCACACAAGCCAAAACCAAACACATAACAAACAAAAATAATTTGAGACTAGCAATTAGTTTAAATAGATATTAAGAAAAGAAGTAGGAGAAGAGTACAATGTGCCTAAAAGTTGCCAGGAAAAAAGTTCAACATAACTAACCCTGGGGAGATGAAAATGAAATTCATTGTAAGTTATTAATTCATTCCAAGAAAATTGACTACTATGAAGTCTTTGTATGATCTTTAGAGGAACAGTTTGTTTTCCATTTTACTCCTGGACAGAACAAGTTCCTATCATAAAACAGGGCCCCATAGATGTGGTTTTGAAGCCTCTCAGTGGCTTGACAGTACTCCTTGTGGTATTTGCTTGTACCTTTCCCGATCAGGGTCTCATTGTTCAGCATGTTATGACATCCTTTTATTATATATGACATAAATCATTGGTATTTAAGTTCATAGAATTTTTAAAGACTAAATGCAGCTATGTTTCATTGTTATCTCACAAAGACAAAAAATATTTGAAGTTGTGATTTTAATTTAATGTGCTTACATAGATCCTGTAATATAGCATAATTTATTTTCTAAATAATAAATAATTAGCTTTTAGAAAATTAAAACATGTAACAAAACTTCAAATAAGCAAGGGCCCTATGTAGAGATTTGTTTCTTTTCAATTGCCTGTGTGGTGGTTTGAATAGAAAAAGCTCAAAGATTTAAATGCTTGGTAACCATGGAGTGGCACTATTAGGAGGTGTGACCTTGTTGGAGTAGGTGTGGCCTTATTGGAGTAGGTGTAGCCTTGTTGGAGGAAGTTTGTCACTGAGTGCAGGCTTTGAGGTTTCAAAAGCTCAAGCCAGGCTGGTGTCTCTCTTTTCTTACTGCCTGCTGATCCTGACATAGAACTCTCAACTACCTCTCCTGAGCCATGTCTGTCTGCATGACATCATGCTTCCTGTCATAATGATAATGGACTAAATCTCTGAACTTTAAATAAACTGCAGTTAAATTTTTCCTTTTATAAAAGTTGCTGTGGTCATGATGTCTCTTTACAGCAATAGAATATCAATGAATAAGACACCCTGTTTATATGCTGATGGTCAAAAGAGCAAAGGAAATTAACATGGAAGCCTCAGGTCTGTAGAGAAAAATAAAGATAACCAAACTCACAGAATACATAGAAAACTAAATAGGTTTTTGTAGAAAGCTTTGTTGTCAGCCACTATCTCTCAATAATGACATGAAGACTTCTTATTAATTATGAAATCTCATCCTTAGTTTAGGCTTGTCCCATTAGCTCTTATAACTTAAATTAATCCATTTATTTTAATCTACATTTTGTCATGTGGCTCGTTACTTCATTTTCTGTACTGCTCATGCTGCTTCCTCTGCATCTTGCTGACAGTATTCCCTTCTTCTTCCAGAGTTCTTTCTTTCTCCTTAATTCCTGCCTAACCTCTTCCTGTCTAGCTATTGACCATTCAGCTCTTTAGTAAACTAACCAAAACAATACATTCTCATACAGTGTACAAATATCCCACAATAAGTTTTATAATTTTATTTATTCATTAAATAGAGTTGAGAAATATGGGGAGAATATAACTTGTTAGAAGAGTCATCTGGTGCTGGGCAGTAGTGGTGCACACCTTTAGTCCCAGCACTGGGGAGGCAGAGCCAGGCAGATCTCTGTGAGTTTGAGGCCAGCCTGGGCTACCAAGTGAGTTCCAGGAAGGGCGCAAAGCTACACAGGGAAACCCTGTGGTTTGGGGTACATCTGATCCACATTGCCATAAGAGAATAGACATCATCTTTGCTATAAAGTCCTATTCAGAGATGTAATGGTGCAGAAGTTGGGGATTTCTCAACCTAACTGTTTAAAACATGGAATAAAAACATCTGAAAATTTTTGCTTGTTACTTTTGCCAAGCACCATCAAATTTAAGCTGAAGAAAAAATGTAACAAAACAGCGTGCTGGCCTAAGTGACTGTGCTGCTTGGCAGCTCTCCACAAGGAAGGGACCCGTGGTCTCCTGCTGCTGCTGTTCCACATCTGTTGTGTTCACGCCTTCCTTCACCATGCCGGGTGTCTACAAAAATGTGTCCCAACTTCACGTTGTTTTTCATTTCTAATTTTATTTTAAAAGTTCATACATGGATACCATGTATCTTAATCCTATCCACCTCTCTTTTTCTCACTACCCCACCAACCAGAACCCTCATCTTTTCTCCTTCCCAACTTCATGTTTTCTTCTTTCTCCTTTTGTTTCTTCTTTCCTCCCTCCCTCCCTCCCTCCCTTTCTCCCTCCCTTCCTCTTTCACTTAGTGAGTCCAATATGTGCTAATCATATAAGAATAGGTGTAGGATCATCCACTGGGACATGGGAACCTACCAATGGTCACATTCCCAACTAAAAGGTACTTTATCTGCCCTAGAAGCCATCAAATGAAAATAGGTTCTTAGTTCCTTGGCACTCCATACTGAAACTTTTAGCTAGGTTGAGGTGAACATGTTATGAAAGTTGTACAATTGAGAGATCTTGTATAGCACTTCTGTGAGTAACCACAGCTATGGTGAATTCAAGTCATCCAGTAGACAGCACTTCAGAGCACTCCTTTCCATCCCACAGCTCTTACATTCTTCTTGTCCTGTCTTCTGAGATGTCCCCTGAGTTTGTGTTGGTGGATAAAATAGATGTCCTACTGGGAGCTTAACACAGTTGCTTATCCTCAGCACTTTGAGTATTACTTTATCTCTGCACTAATCACTACATACTGTAATAAGCAGCTTCCATGAACAAGTTTGGAAACATTACAGACCTAACAATATGAACTTAAATAGTTAGAAAGCAGTTTGACAGCATGAGCATTTAGAAAAGCAACATTAATAGGTTCTCCTCTAAGGCTTATGACTTCCTTAGTAATGCGTTTTGTACATCTTTACAGTACCAGATGTAAAATCTTACCAGTAGAGTTAGGACATTGCCTTCATCACATAGTAACCCCATCTAAATTCCTTTCATATATGTATAGAACTTAGGAAGCTTTCATGGTAATAGGTTCCCATATGTTTTCTTGAATGGCCTTTAGTGTTAGATGTTTTCATTTCTAATTTTATTTTAAAAGTTCATACATGGATCCATGTATTTTAATCCTATCCACCTCTCTCTTTTTCTCACCACCCCACCAACCAGAACCCTCACCTTGTCTCCTTCCCAACTTCATATTTTCTTCTTTCTCCCTTTGTTTCTTGTTTCCTCCCTCCCTCCCTCCTTTCCTCCCTCCCTCCCTTCCTTCCTTCCTCTTTCACTTAGTGAGTCCAATATGTGCTAGTCATATAAGAATAGGTGTAGGATCATCCACTGGGACATGGGAACCTACCAATGGTCACCACCTATATTTTTTCTTTTATCCATTTTTTCCATTTCTCTTTTCTTAAATTATTATAATTTTGTCTTTAATTAATTTAAGATCTGATTTGTAATTATTTTTTTTACTGTCTAGTCATTTGGGCTTAGTTTTCCTCTAGCTGTTCCAAGGTCTTAATATGTATAATTCAGCTATTAACTTGAGATCTCTTAATTCCTTTGGATGTAGGCATTTAGCACTAAACTTTCATTTTAGGACTCTCTTGTGTCTCATTGATTTTATTATGTTTCGTTTTTATTTTTTTAAGAGAAAGTTTTTAAAAAGATTTCCTTTTGAAAAAGTATCTTGTGTTTTGATTCTATTTTTAACTTTTCACAATCAGGAAAGAAATAAAGAAGGTAAGAAAGAAGGGATCCCTCCCTCCAAATTTGGGGGATAAAGCTAGAAAGAAATTGCTAGATTCCAAACAAAATGATATTTCCCTTTATACAGACTCAAAAGTGAAGAGAAAAGTAGCATAGAGGAATAGATGGAAGCCATGTGGCTAGAGATAGGTGTCCCAAAACTATTTAGGTAGAGATATAGAAAGAATAGACCACTCTGAAGACAAAGTTGAGCCCTGGTTTCCTGCTATGATCGTGATGTTTACAGGCAATTTCAACCCAGCTAAGATTATGTCTCTCATAAGAATCAGCACTAAGTTCTCATATATGACAATAATTTGAGGATGATTTACTAGGTAAAATATATGCCATAAATACAATGAAAATCTCAATAGGGAAACTTAAAAGGCCAAAGTTTATTGTCTAAAGGTTAAGGCTGACAAAAGCTAACAGAAGAATTAAAATATAAATGTCAAAATGATAAAGAGGCTATTGCAGCAGATTCTGAATATTTTGTATTTGTATACATTTCTTACATTTCACAAAATTCAATAAAGTTGGAATAACACCAACTACTTAATTCTTACTTCAAGTGATATTTGTGATTTACACAGTAACATTTATATAATATATAGGTATTTTATTGCTGCCATAGTGGAAATAAAACGAAAACCCTTTTTACATGGTAGTCAGAAAGCTTCCAATAGTCACACCTTTGGCCAGCCGCATGCTTGCTCTACTGCAGGCAGGACACTGTATTGTAGAAACTGATTT